GGTCAAGGTAAACCTTCATCAATTCTTCTATATTCTATTAAAACAAATAGTTGAGAATCTCCTAGTTTATAAATGTCTTGGTGTCATAACCTACGTATCTTTGTTTTCTCTTTAGACTGTAGCACAGGGTATTGCAAATATTGTACTAAACAGTTAATATGTGTAATTTGAATTGAAATCAATTGAAATTAACAATTGGACCTAAACTAGGTCCCTGCTCATTTCTGGATGTCTGCAATGCTCATACATAATTACCAACTTATTGTATATATGCTCAATAACTTTGGTACCTGTATATGAAGACATACGTGACAAGGTACAACAACCCCTATTGTATGAATGTTACATTCCTGCAAATAAGTCCGTAAAGTGATTTTTCGTATATAAAATCTAGTTGCTACCTCAGTCACAATGGCATACTTCAAAATTTGTTTTGAAACAGAAAATTATCCACGTGTTAAAATGATGTTATTAATTTCTAACAGTTCTATTTCTTTGTAGAACTGCAATTAAAGCATTTGTTTTGGCCCTATAACAAATGAACTGAAGGACAAATATTAAGAATAATCATAGGTGTGCCTGAATTGTACTAAACCACAAAGTCTTGCCGCTTGTAAGTGGAGCCAGTCATGTCAATGTTCCTATGAACCTTGGGCAGTAAAGATAGGTTTGTTTCCAGCTAGATACTACTGTATAAACCTCTTCTCCTCCACCATCAACTTTGAACTGTTTCTTTTTTATTCAAATGACTTAATGGAATAAAAATTTTCCTGATAAGTTGTATTAATGAAATCTTTGTTGAACTAATTAGATATAAAGGATGCTAAGATACTTCACTATAATAAGCTAACCAATACATTCTTTTAAAAAGTTTTTAAAAAGTCACCCAATTTAATAGTTCATAAATCTTGATTAGCTTAAAGCTGCATAATATTTGTTTATACAGTTTAAGGTACAGCAATATCTTAGCTAGTCTTTGAACTCTTCCCTCTTGGAGCCCTTTCTTATATGTATAGCAGGGAAGGCAAATATCTATAAATTTGAAAACTCTAGAGCTACTTATTTGTTGTAAGTAAATATTTCCTTCAGACTCTTCCCTCCCTTCAATATCATCAATACCACTAGTGGGAGAAAGTTGTATCTGAGAGTCCTTGGAAACAAGTGTCCTTTTATTAATTCTTAACACTTATAAACTGAATGATTGGCTTCTTGGCTGTATAAGCAATTACAAGGAGGTAAGATACAGACAGTTGAGGAAATAGACATAAGATCATTACAAATAATAAAATTGACATTCCAGATGGAACTTACTCTGACATGAAAGTGCTATCATATTTAAAGTTATACATATTGGGTTGCTATACATGTCTGGGTACTTTTGCTTTATTGGAAGGCTGTTTAAAATCCATCAACACCTTAAAGCTACATCTATGAAGTTTGCACGTAAGCATGTATGTTTCAATCTGAGAAAAGTGGAGTTCTCACAGAAGAAATCCTATAAAAAATGGTCCTTTACTGTTGGCCTTATTGCTAGCTTCCTGGGTAGCAAGGATGTCTTGCACAACAGTATGTCTTATGAAAAATTAAAGCAAAACAAATACCGTTGTCAGTAAAACCTTACTAATTCCATTTATAAATTCAACTTGCAAGTGTTTTCCATTGCATTTATAAATCTTGTTACAAAATAATCTTCTACACATTCTTTAAATTTTATAAATGAATAAAGGGAATACACTGTAAAATCAGTAAATATTTTCATCTAAGGCTTCAATAATTGATAATTATACCCATTTGTTTTTAACTTTTGTGTCAAAGTATTAATTTTATCTATGTCAAAGGACTTTTAGATTTAGAATCACATGTAAGCATTGGGAGTGCTTTGGTTTCATTAAACTCACCCTTGCTGAGTTTCTGCCCTTTATACCTCCTTTTATCTTATTTTTTAAATTGACACATAATAATGGTACATATTTATGAGGCATATAGTGGTTTCAATACATATGATGTATAGTGATCAGATCAGAGTAATTAGCATATCCATCATCTCAAACATTTGTCACTTTTTGTGTTGGGAACATTCAATATCTTCCTTCTAGCTATTTGAAACTATATAATAAATTATTGTTAACTACAGTCATCCTACAGTGGTGTGGAAAGCTAGAATGTATTCCTCTTATCTAGCTGTAATTTTGTGTCCTTTAACAGATTTCTCTCTGTCCCCACTTTTCCCCTATTTTTGTCTAGAATCCTCCGCTCTTTTTACTTCTAGGCCGACTCCCTTTTTGGACCCTTTTGTGTTTGGTTTCTGAATCTTGCCTCTTTTACTTTTTAGCACTCGGGGCAGAAATACTCCCCTCCCTTCTCTTAGATCTCTAGCTTTTCCTTTTACCTTACCACTCCCTGTCTGTCTTTTCTGTTTTGGTCATCTATTACCTCTGGTCATGGTTTGGGCTGAACAGTGGCCGAGGAGCCAGCATCACAGGTGTTTTCTTCTAAGTATGGTCTTGTCTCCTTAGGATGAGACTGGTTATTTTCCTTATCCACGGAGGTACAAACAGTACCATCTTGATTATCCTCGCACTCCAGCCCATGATTTAGGCCATCTATGGATTGTCATTTCTTTCTCGTTATCTCTTTGTATCACTAGTATTTGTTTCAAAATTAGCTTTTAAAAATGAAGAAATTCTTATTTTTTTATATATATATATGTATATATATTCTGTGTTATATTTTTACTGGTTCTCCTACCTGAGCCCCTAATATTTCTTTTTCTTTTTTTCTTTTTTTTCTTCAGATAGAGTTTCGCTCTCACACCCAGGCTGGAGTGCAGTGGTGCGATCTTGGCTCACTGCAACCTCCGCCTCCTGGGTTCAAGCGATTCTCCTGTTCTCCTGCCTCAGCCTCTCAAGTAGCTGGGATTACAGGCACCTGCCACCAGGCCCAGCTAATTTTTTGTGTGTGATTTTAGTAGAAACGGAGTTTCACCATGTTGGCCAAGCTGGTCTCAAACTCCTGACCTCAGGTGATCTGCCCACTTTGGCCTCTCAAAGTGTTGGGATTACAGGCGTGAGCCACTGCGCCCGGCCGTCTCAGCCCCTAATATTTCTATCAGATTTTACTCAGCATATTTTGGGGGAAAGGAAGTATATGCAGTATGTTTGAAAGGTGAATCATACTTAGTCCTGAGCTAGCTCACTTTGGACCTTTCTGTGTCCACGTGTTCATATTCCCCACTGCAAAGGCATTTGCATTGCACAAGTCTGTTCAGATTTACGATGATCTCACAATGTCATTCAGGGATTCATTCAGGGACAGAATCCCTGAATGAATCAGAGAAAAAGAGGGCTAAGTATTGTTGACACAGGTGATTGTTCTTCTAGTAAGCACAGGTGAAATTCTCCCTTCCTTCAAATGGACTTTGTGGTAAAGTTCTATCTGTTTTCTGGACTCATACTCCTTCAAAGATGATGGAGGGAATGCAGGCAGAGTTGAGACTTGGAGCAGTGCTTCTCAAACTCTGTTGAGGAGGTGAGGTCTCTATTCTTCTGTAAAATGAAGTAAAAATTAATTTCTAGAAAACTGAAATGAAAAACAGGCCCACAACAACATCCCCTTACTTTTTTATTATTAGAGTAAACAGACACAACATTAATTGGTCAAATTGCCTTACAAATTTCTAAACGTGGACTCTCCATCTGTCTACTTAACCAGTACCAGTTGGGGGACCATACTTTCACAGCCAGTTTAGGACACTTCTACCCATACCAGATAGAAAGTGCTTAATTTTAAAAAACCAACTCCATAAATATTTAGTGGGTAGAGGGGTCGGAGGGTGGGTTTGCTTTACCTGAATTTAGAAAATCCTGCAAGTATAGGGGAAATCTGTTAATGAGCTAAGACTATAGACAATTAACTATTATCAAAGATTCTTAGCAGAAAATAAACAAAAAGTTAATGCTTGCTATATCATAACATGATCTGTGCACATATGCATCCTAAGGCTTAAAAAAGAGAGCTTTTGAAGAATGAGTGAATTTAAAATGATGCTTAAAATTTCCTTCCACAAATATCTTCTTCACAGAGAGAAAGGCTTTCTCCCTGGCTCTGTCTATATAAGTAAGCACCTTGGGAAACACTGAGCCGGAGTTCTTTTTACACCCTTGCATGTTGCTGCTTTAATGTTTTATCTGCCCACTGCCAATTGATCTCAAATAAGTCTAATTTTTGGAGGTAATTTCATTCACATTCATGGATCCTGGATTCTTTAGGGGCTTTGAACTTTTCCTCTGTGATAAGAAAGCACCACGTAAGATAGGAAGTCAATTGGGACTAGAATTCAATATGTCAGCTAACTCAGAAATCCCAGTACAGAATTTAGCACTCCTGGTCAACAGATGCTCTCCAGGGAACTTGGCCTCCGGAAATCAATTATTGGATTACATCCATCTAACCCAAGAGTGGGTTTGATGATGACTGTTTTTATTTTCTATTATGAAGAGAGTGATAATGTTTATTTTATGAGGATAGATGGTAAAAACAATCTTTATTTCAAAAATAGTATCAGTTCTATTGAATGATTTTGCGTTCCACAGGATTAATTTTCAAGATACTTGAATTGGGAAAGCTGAAATCACTATAAAAAGAATGTAGTGCCTTAAGTTTTTTGGAATGAAATGAAATGTGCACCTATTTAAGACTTTCATTTAACTCAGACACTTAAAATATCAAGAAAATAAATGACTTCTTTTGGCTAATTGTCTTATGTACAATAACCTTGAGGGTAAGTATCAGGTAAAAGGTAAGTGGTATCATTGGATTTCCTCTCTAATTAAGAAGAGATCCAGTGACAGTTTGTTTTCATGGTGCACATTAGGAATTGTGATTGTGCTGCTTTCTCATTTAACTTTAGAATAATTTATTATGACAAGTAACAGAAAGTAGATAACAGAGTTTAAGTGGTTTGTACTTTCATGCTTGTATGTTGTGTTCCTGTCTTACAGACTTTTATAGTATTGAATAAAGGGAAGGCCATCTTCCGGTTCAGTGCCACCTCTGCCCTGTACATTTTAACTCCCTTCAATCCTCTTAGGAAAATAGCTATTAAGATTTTGGTACATTCATATCCTTTTTCAAGTGATTAATATTAACTATTTGTACATAATCTGTAAGCACTTTGTAGCTAAATATCAAATTAAGTTGGGAAATGTCCATATTCTATAGTTTTCATCACTCTCATTTTGCATCTTTGTCATATAAGCCTCATTCTTAAAGTTCATTAATCACATAGACATTACTGAAACATTCAGTCTTTAACATTTTATATATTATGTATAAACATGTATTTATGTACTTTTGTTATCTGTCTAAAAACACTTATATGTATTGAATCCTACAAATCTAAAGTAAGATAATCATATTTACCTTTACCATCTTTATACAAAGTTTGTGATGGTGTAGAATTTGCGGTGAGCAATGATATAATAACAGAAAAATCTACTTCCACACCCAAGTTTATCCATAGTTATGATATAAAACACTTCAGTGTATCCTAGAATAAATCTGTAAGTATATTTTCTGTCAGAGAATGTCAAGAGTCTTTGGCCAGTACTTAGTTAATTCTTGAAATTTCCTGATGATTTTTGTGAAGGAAGAACTGGAATGTTGGCTGAATTTCAAATTCAAGTCATGAGTTATGATGCTGCCATGCAAAACTGATTGCTTAGTAAAGACTCTGGAAGTTAATGAGAGAAGTTGGCATATATTTCCAAATGGTCTTAAGGGATTTGGTTTCATGATTCATGGTGTTAAAAAGGACTTCACAACTACATTCATTTGTTGATCAATTTAGCAAAGCAATTCATTTCTGAGTGTATCTTGTTTGATAGCTTTGACAATAATAGATATTAAAAGACCATTATAATTATCATAAGCTCATACTATTTTTTAAAGGATTCTAAAATTTAAAAAGCCATTCTAATTTTAATATGATAGCAAGACATTTCTTAGTGGTATAAATATGCTATTACTAAAATTAAAAGATTTGAAACATAAAAATCATATGATCAGGGTTTTTACACTTACGGAAGTTTCCTTATCCCAGTTTGTATTCGTAGTGCCATCATGTGGTCATTTGATGAAAACTTTCTTTTTCAATTATGGAAAATTTTTGTTTTGGCAGTAAACTATAGTGGAAAGAATATTGGATCTTAATGCATGAAACTTATATTCTAGTCCTGAGCCCTTTATCTAATTCCTCTAGAGCTTAGTAAGGCCTTATTTCCCTGATTTTTAAAATATAGTGATAAAACTTATTTTTTAGAGTCCCTTTCAGTTTTATAATTCTGTTATGTCTGTTCATTTGTTTTAGCTACCACTTAGAGTATATTTACTTATGCACAGCGACTGTTCCAAGCATTTCCAATATATTAACTCGTTTAATCTGCATGTAAAAATGATTACATTACAAAATGAGTATATTATTAGCTCCATTGTAGAGAAGTAGGAGGAGATACAAGGCAATGGCACAGAGAGGTTGAGTCACTTGGCCAACATCACTTTGCTGTGTTGAATTTTAATTACATTCCCATCATGTTAAGTGCCAATCTTCAAGAATACTCACTTTTAATGTTATCGAATGCTGCTGCACTTGCATAAACTCAGTCGAAATAGAGCAGCTGAACAATTAGCATCGTGCCGTACTTTGACTACAAATTGTTTTCATGCATTGAACTATGTTGGATAAGATGTGTTTAAGAAATTACAATATTGCAGATAAGTGGTCTTCCTCAACAATTTACTAGTTTATTTGCCTGAATGAGCTCAAGTCAATACTTTCTGTTGAAAAACTATGCAACTCCAGGTAGCACAAAAATAGTCTTCCCACGGAAGTTCTCTGGGAGGTGAATATATTGATTTAATAATAGTTGTAAAAACAACACCTTATACTGATATAATGCTTTTATATACATTATCTCATTTAATCTATACAAATACTCAGTGAAGGTGATATTATTACCCACATTTTACACATGCAGAAATTGAAATTTAAAGAGATTAGATGACTTGACCACAATACATTTATCCCTGAATTTTGGCTAAGCTGCAGTTTGGGCTTTTCAGTGTTAGCTTTTTGTAATATAACACTTGGATTTCGATTTTCTTTTGTGCGTTCCTTAACAATAACCTACATTATTCAGCATGCTAATTATGTGCACTATTTTGACAAACTGTGTGTTTATGACAATGAGTAACCCTCCTGACTGGACAAAGAATGTAGAGTAAGTTCAACTTATATTTTTAATAACGTATCTACATTTGGGAGTTTGAAACTGTGTCTTATTGTAGTTTTAAAAATAAAACTGAAGAGCATTTTATTAAAGTCATTTCTAGACAAAATTACTCAGCAAGAGGACAATGTTCGTTGGCCCTCAGGCCTGCTGGCGTTATACCTGATTATTGCTCTCTTTCGCCTGTACCTGGTATTTACCAGAAGACTACCACTCTTGGACATTTACTCCTTTTTCTTTAAAATCTACAGTAGCCAAACCAAATGTGGTCAAAGCAATTGCAGAAAAGAGACAGTATGGTAGACCTTTGTTCCAGTTAAATTCCAGATAAATTCATTGAGTCGAAAATCAAAAAGAGTTAGTTACAAATGCCATATCGAACCTCACAAAGTTTTCATTGCCAACAGGCACATTCACTTCATGTCAGGTCAATATAGTTCCAAGCGTGTACACCAACAAATTGAAAAATAATCCACAGTTTCAGGATTGTAGAACTTGAAAATTCGGTAGACTGAAGACTAAACTAACAGAAGTGGAAATTTTGAAGAGTGTTCAGAAACCAGAAGCATTACTAACTATACTGATGGTGTCTCTGTTTTGGGGATACCTTCGAGGCAAAGAGGCCAGATTTGTGATAACTGAAGTTGGGCTACTCTAACCATAGCTGCTTACCTGCCCACACTTCCTATTTGTAGTGCCTGTTACTATACAGCTGCTGACCTGTAACAACTACAGAAGTATTAGGTTGGTGTAAACATAATTGTGGTTTTTGCCATTACCTTCAATTGAAGGTAATGTTTGTACCAACGTATTTCCAAGAGTGTCTCCTTTCCTAGACACTTCCAGGCTGAAACCAGTAAGAAAAATGACATTTTGAAGAAAATAATAAATATTATATACAAAAAATTCTAAAGTATTGAAGTTAATATGGGAGGCCCCACAGGTTTTCCGTTGCCCTAGATTTTTGGGATTTTATGCCACTCTCACACCCCAATTTCTGAGTAGGAGATTTAAACTTTGGAAACACCTAAGTTTCTGAATTATCACAAGAATTTTATTCTAAATTAAATGTTTACTTTTTGTGACCCTAGAAATATTTACTTTGATTTTAAAGAAGTCTTTATTCCAAGTAAGTTAAATTATCTTGTAGAAAAAAAAAAAAAAAAGGCATGCTAGTTTGTCAATTCCCTCTCATTCTTGGAACACCATTAAAATTGAGATTTTTTTTTCCCTAAAAGGAAATCATTTCATGCTTCCGCAATAGTATTAATTGGCTATTCCATCATGTAAACATACTAAATATTTCTAAGGAGACTATGTTTATTTATGTAAATACCAAGACATTTCAGACAATGTCTAGATAGATTTAATATACCTTGTATTTCTCACACTACTCTTAAGACACTTTACAAAACAACTCTTTGTGTGTTAGAAAGTTGAATTTAAATTTAAGCCTCTGTTTTATTTGTATGAAAATAAAATCCATCTGCTTAGTTTTCTATTTTAGTATTCATCTATTCTGCTGATAGAGTGATAAGAAATTGGTATGCTATGAAAAAACACTGTTACTTTATCAAATTTGTTGGATGCTTGTTTTCAGATACACCTTCACAGGAATATATACTTTTGAATCACTTATAAAAATTATTGCAAGGGGATTCTGTTTAGAAGATTTTACTTTCCTTCGGGATCCATGGAACTGGCTCGATTTCACTGTCATTACATTTGCGTAAGTGCCTTTTTTGAAACTTTAAGAGAGAACGTAGTTTGGTTTTCCATCAGTGCTTATGCTTTTAAGAATAGGCTTGCTTTACCTGTAGAATATTTTGATGTGATTCATACATTCAAACTCTGGATTTCAATTTAGCACCACAAAGGTCTAAGTGGGATTTCACTATGGCATGAAGGCTTTGCAGTAGTTGGAAACTACAATTTTCACACGTAGCATCTGTCAGAAAATTTCACATACGCCACTCTTCCACATACACATGCACAACACACATACACAAACACATATGAACACACACAATCTCATATCAAAACACAAGCATATTTGTAATACATCTGTGAAAATCACTTTGAAAATTATAGCCACGAAACAGTTCTATTGGCTACACAAATTTGCAATGACCTTGCTCATATTACACACAGTTTCTTTTATTGGTTTGGTAGAATAATCGAAAGTAAGTATCTACTAGCATCAAAATGATCTGACAAATCAGACTAAGAGAAGAAAGAAGATACTTGAAATATTATGTTTTTAATATATTAAATTACTGATTTCTAAGACCTGTAGAGGAGTACATTCTCTCTGCCTTTCTGTTTCTCTCCTGACCCCTTTTCTTTCTTATTTTCTTCTTTCCTTTTATGGTTTTCTTCATCTCTTTAGTCTCAACATAAACTTCCTTATTCTTATCTTCTATTCATATCCACTCAGTAATATACACAGTTTATGCACCCCCATGCTTTTTTTTCTAGTCACAGACTTCCTCAGGAAGAGACCCAGACAAACAACAGAAAACCATTCCGGACTAAGTGAGAGTAGAGCATAGAAAGAGGCAGCCCCACAACACTTACCCTCAGCCTTCCTTCAGGAGCTGATTTTTTGGCCTCTTACAGTTGTGATGTAGTGGAGAGGAGCAGGAGAGGTGGCACTGATATACTCAGGACTCTGAATACTGCGTGTCTGGTTGTAATTTCCTATCTGATCAGGATGAGCCAATTCTTTGCCAGGTTCTCTGGCCACAGCTCAAAAGAAGGCATACCAGGACTTCCATTTCTTAAGATCAAAATGGCAATAATAATAGGGGCAGCACTGGACCCTCATAAAATATTGTTCTTAATTTGCTTAACTTTTATTTAAAAGTTACACTGGGAAAATCTTATCTCGTATATAAAAGCAGTAAGGCAATCTGCCTTTTCATGCCCAAATTTCTGTTGGGTAATTTCATATATCTTTCTCTAACTAAAACCCTAAACCATAGCCAAGATTTATTTTCTTTTTACAAGCTACACATGATATTGGTTGCATTGCTTTCCAAAGTGACAACAATGGCGCCTACTTTATGAAGTTTACATTTAGCTAATGGCCTTAAATTATGTGATCAGAGGATTAGTGATGAAATCTAATTCCTGATTTGCCACTTACAATATTTATCATTTAAAATCACCAAGAAGGTCTTTATAAAAGACCCATGCAAGTAATATAAATCCTGCTAAAATCTTGAATAACTCTGATTTAATTCTACAGGTTTGTAACAGAATTTGTAAACCTAGGCAATTTTTCAGCTCTTCGCACTTTCAGAGTCTTGAGAGCTTTGAAAACTATTCTGTAATTCCAGGTAAGAAGTGATTAGAGTAAAGCATAGGCTCCTTGTACCTACAGCTTTTTCTTTGTATCCTGTTATTGTGTTTGTGTGTGAACTCCCTATTACAGGTACGTCACAGAGTTTGTGGACCTGGGCAATGTCTCGGCATTGAGAACATTCAGAGTTCTCCGAGCATTGAAGACAATTTCAGTCATTCCAGGTGAGAGCAAGGTTAGACAACGAGACTGACCCATCATATGATTCAGCATCCTTCTCTTTGCTTGGCATTCAGTTTTACCGAAAATCAGGAATCATAAGACTAGGTGTTTCAAAGAAAATGTTTCTTATTGTTTAGACATAAGCTTTATCAGCCTTGGAGTGTAACAGTGTCTTATGTGAGATACTGTAATTTGAGGTCAAGGTGATTTGCACTTACAAATATCATGTTTTGTTTTGTTTTTTCACCATGTTAGTTTTATCAAGAATTTGCTCCCTTTTAAATGTACCAATCTCTAATTTCTTATTCATTAGAGTCATTAATGACTATGTGTATACAATGCAAATCTTCTAAATTTTTTGCTAACAAAAGAGAAGGGAATGAGATAATAAAAAATAGTGTGAGTCTGCATGGAGGATTTATTATCTTAAGGCGCAATTATACTGCAAACCACTTTCAGTTGTACAGCAAAATCTTTCTTGTTTATAAATAGGAATTTTAAAATATTTATTCAAGTATTTTGTCATAAAACTGACCTCTGACCCTAATGAAAATGTGAGGCAAGCTTCAGTAGCAAAAAGGAAAAAGACAAGGCCCTTTCCTTAATATAGGCTCCATGAAGAACATGAACCTTCCATTACTCTGTCTCGACATAATGGGATATGAATCTTCATTTCATTGTTTAAATCATTACATTTCTGGAATTCATCTTCAGAAGTTCTTCCCCCTTCCATGAAGTGTTGCTTCTCCATTAGCATTGCAAACATTCTTGGACTTATGAATGAAATCTATGTTTTCAAGAAAATTGTGTGAAGCTTTTGTTATTTCAGATGTGTTAAGTCTTCATAGTAATAGGCTTCTTTCTTTTAGGCCTGAAAACCATTGTGGGAGCCCTGATCCAGTCTGTGAAGAAACTCTCTGATGTCATGATCCTCACTGTGTTCTGTCTGAGCGTGTTTGCTCTAATTGGGCTGCAGCTGTTCATGGGCAACCTGAGGAATAAATGTATACAGTGGCCTCCCACCAATGCTTCCCTGGAGGAACATAGTGTAGAAAAGAATATAACTGTGAATTATAATGGTACACTTATAAATGAAACTGTCTTTGAGTTTGACTGGAAGTCATATATTCAAGATTCAAGTAAGAATTATTGTTATGTACATTTCCTTAAAAAGTAGAATTGGATTGTTTGTAACACAAAGGATAAATCCTTGAGGGGCTGGATATCCCATTTTACATGATGTGATTAGTACACATTGCATGCCTGTATCAAAACATCTCATTTACCCCGTATATACAAACACCTACCTTGCACCCACAAAAATTAAAATTTAAAATTTAAAACTAATGAAATAAATAAAACACCCTCTAAAAAATAATTACTGTTATGTATATTTAGTCTTTTCATTGCTAATGTGCCTTCCATCTAGGCATGAAAATGTTTTTAAATGATCACATAACAAGACGTCATCTTTTAGAAAATTACCTAATCAAACTATTTAACAATATTTAAAATTATATTTTATTTGGTATTTCTATCCTCTGGATTTTAAATAATAGATTATTTATATTTCTGGAACTAATTTTAAAGAAGAATTTTGTTAATCACCTTATCAATGACTTACACATACATTTAACAATTTTGTTCATAACTACTCTAGTTTTGGCTCCTCAATGCCATTTTCTATTTTATCATCATTTGGAAGCCTGAAGAATTCAGCTAGAAAGAATTTTCCTAGGATCCTTTGTTGTTTCCTGTGGTAATTGATATAATCAAAGGAGATAAAACATGTGAATGCCCTTTGCGAATTCTACAGTACTATGCAAATGTAACTCATTATACACTAATTACACAATGTCTCTTATGTATCAGAAACTTTGTAGTACACTGGGGAAAATAATGGAGATAACACATGGCTTCAGAGTGTTATAGTTTAATAGATTATTTTGTTACCTTAAGGAAATAAAGGGATACCTAAAAGTAAATCTCATTCATGTATTTGAAAAGTAGTATTACATCAAAAAGAAGAAAATTACAGTTAATAAAGCTTCAGGAGAGAGTAATAGAAAATGTTAGTTGGGTGCAGTGGCTCACACCTATAATCCTAGCACTTTGGGAGGCTGAGGCTGGAGAATCACCTGAGGCCAGGAGTTTGAGAGTTTGAGACCAGCATGGGCAACATAGTGAGACCACCTTCTCTACTATATATATATAGATATATATATTATATATATATATACACACACACACACACACACACACACTTTTTTTAATGAGTTGGGTGTGGTGGCATTTACCTATAGTCTCAGCTACTAAGAAGGCTGAGATAGGAAGATCACTTGAACCTGGGAGGTCAAGACTGCAGTGAGCCATGATCATGCTACTGAACTCCAGCATGGGTGACAGAGTAAGACTCTGTCTTGGAAATAATAATAATTGTGCTAATAGCCTTTCTCTTTTGAAAGTGACAATAAAAAGTGTGTAAGTTTCCTCTCTCTTTAATTTTAGAATCTGCCAGTAGTGATATTTCAAAAGCAAGGAGAGTTAGAACATGATTAATAAGAAAAGGAAAAGTCCTTTTTAAGGAAAAACATGAAACCTGCACAACTTAGATTTTTAGATGTTCTTGAGTATAGTATATCTGTATTATTTTAAGGTGATGAATAATATTTTGGAAAAAAAGAAAGAAAACTTCAGTGACTGACTGTGTGGAACAAACCGAATTAATTACAGAAAGTTACTAGTTGTTTGTATTTATTAAAGTAATGATAGCATAGTTTAAAAAGCGAGTACTAATCAGTGTCTCCTTATAGTTATAAATCTGGAAAATACCTTAGGTTGATACAAATGAACTCTTCCATGACATTCAGTGATATGCTAATAAATAATTTACAAACAGCTGAAAATCTTTAGGTTTAGTTGTAAATCTTTAGTTGTTAATCTTCAGATTAAGAACAGTGTCTGAGCAATACACCAATGTTCCTTATTCACTTGATATGATGCCAGTAGGTCAACTTCAATCACCAACTCCCTGAAATCTGTTGTTTGTTTGTTTTACCTAAGTTTAAAATACTGACTATGAGGGTTATTTAGGGTTTATTCTCTCTAGGGAAAATTTATTGGACTGCATTTTTCCAATACGCAAAGTAAAAAAATAAATAATATCTGAGGTCATTTTCAGCTCTAAACATCTATGATTCTTATTTTAAACCAAATGCAAATATAAATAAAGTGGTTCATTTTTGAAAGTAATAGAAAATTAAGTTTATTAAATTTAAGGATAAATATTATAACTGAAAAGTTATATTTTCCTCAGGTTAAGGCTAATCATTAAGGTTAGATCATGAATTTAATGAGCAAAACTTCATTTATAAATATGAGATACCAAAAATTCATCCATAAACTATTACAGTCCTTTCTCTTTGTTTAATTTTAATTCAAAGTTAGAAAATACTATGTCAACTTTCCTGTCTAGGTTCAAATAAGTCAGAATATTAGAAACAAAAATGATATTTTTCCTTATGTGGTTCTGTGTACTGTATGGAACTATGCATGGAATAAATTCCTCAGAAAACTTAACATCTAGGAAATATATCTTCTTACAAAATCCAACATTGATTGTTTAATTTCATGTTTTCCTCTTTTCGTCTTTTATTTACTTATTCATTCAATAAACTTTACAGAAAGGCTACCCAGTCTCAAACAAACACTAATATAGAAGTAATTAATGATCATGACTTTCTAGGAGGAATACTTGTAAATAAATAATTACAATATAGGAGTGTCACTATAAGAATATATATAAGAATAATTCAAGTATATATGTGTTACTCGTAGCACAATGAGGAGAGTTCTTAATTCTGACAACATTTAGTGGAAAGAAAGTTGAAAATATCAAGGAAAAAGTTACAGAAGAACTGGATGTTGCAAGATGCAAAGGAGTTTGCAAGAAACGGGAATCTTTGAGATAATGTTCTGTTCACCTATAGTCATTATTTTAGCTTTAGTACTTAAGACTTTTTAAAACTGCTTTCATTTCAGTTGTTGATCTGATTTATGCATATTTGACTATAAGTTGCCTATATTCTGGAAACTGTGAGAATATAAGTTATACTTAATTATTAAAATATATAGTGTTAAAAATATAGGAGAGAGGACCAGAAAATATGCTATTCTTTTATTTTGAAATGTGTGGCCGTTTTGAGAAAATGAATTCCTGTCATTCCTGTCTATTTTTACTGAATGAATTTTTTTTCATGAGAGTGATGGATAAAGGTTAATACTTTTTGAAAGATTGTGTTAGTACCTGTCATTATCACTAAATTTACATTCATAATGAAGAAATACTTTGCACTGTAAAGTATCTAATGCAAATACTTTGCACTATAAAGTATCTAATGTAAAGTATCTTTGCACTGTATCTAATCTAATGCCATTCCTTCATAATGACAAAATACTTTGCACTGTAAAGTATCTAGATAGAATATCTAGAATTTGGAGGGAGAAGAGACAAATACTTGTGCCTTTGAATGAATTATATGTTTAAAATTCCTCAACAAACTTAAAAGAAGAACCTGACCTTCCTGTTCTCATTTTAGTGTTTTTAACAATGCAAATGTTCATCATATGACTTTCTTTTTTCAAACAGGATATCATTATTTCCTGGAGGGTTTTTTAGATGCACTACTCTGTGGAAATAGCTCTGATGCAGGGTAAGTCAATAATTTGTGTGTATCTGTGTATCTTTCTGTGTACACATACATATGTGTATCTTTTCTCTCTTTTTATAGAAACTGAAGATAACAGTCAACTAATTTTATTGACATTAATTTGCTATATGTAAGGTTTTGGATAAAGTGTGAGATTATTTAAAGATTAGGTAAGATTTATGTTTTCTAAAACAAGAAGTAATACTGTTAGACACATGCACACGTATGTTCATTGCAGCACTATTCACAATAGCAAGAACATGGAATCAACCTAAATGCCCATCAGTGATAGGCTGGATAAAGAAAATGTGGTACATATACACTATGGGATGCAATGCAGCCATAAAAAATAATTAGATCATGTCCTTTGCAGGGATATGGATGGAACTGGAGGCCATTATCCTTAGCAAACTATTTTTGCAGGAACAGAAAACTGAGTACCTCATGTCCTCACTTATAAGCGGGAGCTAAATGATGAGAACACATGGACACATATAAAGAACAACACACACTAGGGCCCACTAGAGTGTGGAAAGTGGGAAGAGGGAGAGGATCAGGAACAATAACTAGTGAGTACTAGGCTTAATACCTCGGTGATGAAATAATCTACACAACAAACCCCCATGACACACATTTAACTATATAAAAAACCTGCACATGTACGTGCTCCCGAACTTCAAATAAAAGTATTAAAAAAGAGGAAAATATCTCTTAAACATCCACTGTATATAACAGCGAAAATACAAAAAGAGGAGTAATCCTGTTCCTACTTTTTTAGTGTATATAGTAATAACAATGCTGTTTCTTCTAGATAAGTATATGGAGCTATAAACTCTGGAGACTCCATAGTAGTAGAAATGAAATGGAGATGTTGAAATTGCAAATTATCAACAAAAGTTATTTTGTAAAATATTATTAGAAATGCTGCACCATATTTTAATGATGATGCCAAGTAGCTAATAAGGCTATATGCAGTCAAAAGTTGGGAAATAGATTACTTACTTACTTATCAAACTTTTATTTTGAAATAGCAAATCTTTCTGGCTAGACAATATTATAGCATAGTATCAGAGTAAAAAGGCAGCAGAACCACTTGTAATACTTTCTTTTGCCCCACTTGCAGCCAGTGTCCAGAGGGATATGTGTGTGTGAAAGCTGGTAGAAATCCCAATTATGGCTACACAAGCTTTGATACCTTCAGTTGGGCTTTTTTGTCCTTGTTTCGACTAATGACTCAGGACTTCTGGGAAAATCTTTATCAACTGGTGAGACACTAAAGAGCTACACTCTCCATTTAAGTAAAAGTACACAAGAAAACCAATTGAGTTATGAAATTAAAACCAGAGGATAATATAGTAGAAAGGCAGAACTTGAAACGAGACTTGACTTTCTCTATCCTATTGATTATAACACATATTGAGCAGAATGATGCCAAGGATTGCAATTCTCTCCCATTTCTTCTTGACTCAAAACCTGTTCTCTACCTTTCTCAGACACAGATTGTCCTAAACAGAAGGCACGTTCTCCCTTCAGCCTTATCTACCCCCTCAAATATTATCTCTCAGGTGGGAGGTAATGAAAATGAAGAAGCAGATATAGAAAGATAACTTTATTGTCTTCCTTGACTTTCCTAACGGCTCAGGTCTTTAATGGAGGACTCCATGGCATTTTACTGACTGTTTCATTCTTGGTGAATACAAAAATTCTCCCCTAGAGATCATAGTGCGAATCCATCAGCTAGGAGAGAAGGAAGAAGCTGAAGTTAAAGAAACAAAGAATCAAAAAAAGTACAGTGTGCTGTGACCAGCATAATTACTATTTATATCTGAGTTTTGCTAGACACACAAGTAAACTGAAAGTTGAAGCCACCACTTAGTGAAATAATATCGAGAAATAATTCTGATATTTTTGTTTGCAGACATTACGTGCTGCTGGGAAAACATACATGATATTTTTTGTGTTGGTCATTTTCTTGGGCTCATTCTACCTAATAAATTTGATCCTGGCTGTGGTGGCCATGGCCTACGAGGAACAGAATCAGGCCACCTTGGAAGAAGCAGAACAGAAAGAGGCCGAATTTCAGCAGATGATCGAACAGCTTAAAAAGCAACAGGAGGCAGCTCAGGTAAAGATGCCCTGTCTCATGGCACTGACCTTTTATTGTTCTGATTGTTACAAAAATATTGAAGAGAAAGTGAGTACCTAAAGGCAGGTGGTTATATAAGGAATTATTAACGATTTCTATATTTTGATCATCCATTTACTTTTATTTAGTTTAATTATTTTGTTTATTTTTTTAAGATGTATATAATAATAACCACAATAGAACTCTCTCATGTTATTTTAATCATCTTAAGATTCTCAAAGCAAAGGGAAAATGTTATTTTGGGGTATTTTCAAGTGAGAGACTTTTATTCAATGAGTAGCCTGACATTAGGAGGAAATCATCTTTTCTTAGAACAAGAAATTATTGGTTATCATATGAAGAGTTGCTCCTCTAGTTCTTAAACATAGTCTCCTTTTTTCTTTAACTAAAAATATGTTGGCTTTTAACATGATTGCTTTATTTCTTTTATAAGGAAGTGATCAAATAATATAACGATCTCTGATATAGCAGCATCCAATAGACATATGAATGTCACCGATCTTACAGAGCTTGACCATCTAAAAAGGATTACTTGGTTTTATAGTGAAGTGTTAGACCTCACAGTGTGATAAATCATAAAATGCCTCTCCTATCTCTCTCATCTTTCTGTTTAGCATACAAACTTAATGTCTTTACTAAAGAAGAAAGTTGTTTCAGAAATATTAATTTATATGCAAGAGTAAATAATTTATCAAGGTTACCCTGGGAACAATGATAATAATTAAAAAGTGTCAACTTACTACCAGTACAAGCTATAATCAAAAAGCAGTGTATTATTCCATTTCCACATGTCCCTTAAGAACCAGTACCGATTCAAAGATGGTGGGGACAGTTTTTGGAAAACTGGATGTCTTATTTTGCTCAGCAGAAACTATTGATTCTCCCTTCTCCATTTTTCTGGATATTGTGGATGGGTGAGAAAGGGATTTTATAACTGTCCATAAATATGATTAATGATATTTTGAGGGTATTGGACAATCCAATTTCAATAACTAGAGAAAGGACCTCACGTCCTTATCCCATTCCCCTGCCTGAAGATAGGACTTCAAGTAGTTCATCAGCTTTTCTTCCATACTTCAGTTTCGTTTTCAGAGAAAAGAAAACAACACTAATTAAATAGCAATTTTTAAAGTAAATCAAATCCCAAAAGTAACGAATTTGTGTTCTTGTTGATACCTGATGGATATTTTTGAATATGTGGTTTGTGGGGCATTAACACAGACATAATAAATGTTACCATGGAGAAGACCAGATTATCTCTGAAAGCCTTCATTAGGTGGAAAAAAAAAAATCTCCTCTTATACTTGCAGAGAATCTTCTCTGTGAGATGATCCTCAGTCAGCTCAATATATTTTTAAAATGCCATGCAAATACTTCAACCCTTTCGGAGAAAGATACAGTCTTTTCAGGTGCTATGTTAAAACTATTTCTCTTCAATGTAGCAGGCAGCGACAGCAACTGCCTCAGAACATTCCAGAGAGCCCAGTGCAGCAGGCAGGCTCTCAGACAGCTCATCTGAAGCCTCTAAGTTGAGTTCCAAGAGTGCTAAGGAAAGAAGAAATCGGAGGAAGAAAAGAAAACAGAAAGAGCAGTCTGCTGGGGAAGAGAAAGATGAGGATGAATTCCATAAATCTGAATCTGAGGACAGCATCAGGAGGAAAGGTTTTCGCTTCTCCATTGAAGGGAACCGGTTGACGTATGAAAAGAGGTACTCTTCCCCGCACCAGGTATGGCACTGCTGAGTTTACTGATGCACGGTTGAAAATTAAAACATGGGAGAGAGGGGGAGAATTAGAAAATGGACTTAGGAATTTTTATCAACTGAATCGACCACTGTTGTGCTATATTTAAACCTATCCCTTCTGCACATAGTTATGCGAAAATTTTACTCCACAGATATGTAAGTCTACAGCTCAGTGTAGTTAAGATAACACCAAGTTGACAGTCAGGAGAACTGGATTGTCATTCTGATATCGTCTGCCGATATTTGTCTACAACTAATGACATTTAATCTTTTTGATTCTCAGCACTTTTAAGAAAAAAAATGTGGAACTGGGGATTGTTGATCAGGAATGTCCTTAGGTTATTTTATGATTTTATGTTGTTTTTCCTCATAACTTCTTTATCAGTCACCACGCATGCTTCTGAAAATACTAGTCATGGTACACTTCTTCAAAAGGCACATGGCTCTGAATTTCAGAAGTATGAACTTCAAGTTCCAACAATACGATGCCTTATAGGTGAAAAAGAAATAATAATTAAAGTGATTTTAGAAAGGTGGAGTAAACTAAATCGTGAGGAGTATTGAAAGTTTTTGAAAGACAAGATCCATGAAAACCAAGGTGGTCTTGTTAAGGTCATGGTGCCAGTGTTCACTGAATGTTTACCATGTCCATTGCCATATCCTGAGGATATTTCCCTTTGAACTTGAGAAATGGTGGTTCAGGGTGTGTGTGTTTGTGTGTGTGTGTGTGTGTGTGTGTGTGTGTGTGTGTGTGTGTGTTTCAACATGTTAAGGTTGCAATCTATCTCCTCGTTCTTTAATCCCAAAGGCTAGAAACCTTCTTTTATCAAGGTAATTTAATTTAATGTGAACGCACATAAAGTGAGAATGATAGTCAAAAGGAATGGGCCATATTCTGTCATGAATGCTGAAATCTTCTTCCACCTAATCTTGCAAAATGAAATCACATTCAAAGGGCCATATTAATATCGCTTTATTTGTTTGCTGTTTCAAACTTCTAGTCTTTGTTGAGCATCCGTGGCTCCCTATTTTCACCAAGGCGAAATAGCAGAACAAGCCTTTTCAGCTTTAGAGGGCGAGCAAAGGATGTGGGATCTGAGAATGACTTTGCAGATGATGAGCACAGCACCTTTGAGGATAATGAGAGCCGTAGAGATTCCTTGTTTGTGCCCCGACGACATGGAGAGCGACGCAACAGCAACCTGAGTCAGACCAGTAGGTCATCCCGGATGCTGGCAGTGTTTCCAGCGAATGGGAAGATGCACAGCACTGTGGATTGCAATGGTGTGGTTTCCTTGGTTGGTGGACCTTCAGTTCCTACATCGCCTGTTGGACAGCTTCTGCCAGAGGTGATAATAGATAAGCCAGCTACTGATGACAATGTAAGGAAGTTTTAAATAGTTCAGGCATGGCTGGCCCATTATTGCTGCACCAGCCAGTGTTTCTACAAAACGGCAACCTTGAGAATGATTCCTGGTTGGTCACGCTGTGAATGCACCTGCATCTTGTAATATCTTTAATAGACTAACCAACTAAAACTTAAAACCTTAACAGTCTACTGCACAAACCTGAATGCATTTACTTACTGAAAGTGCTAAGGATTAATTAGACACAATAATTACTGACTCCAGTTGGAGGATTTGCTATATACCCACACTGAATTTAGATAGCAGGACATCCTCTAAGGCTCTGATATAAAAGTAAATGAATGATCCCATGTTTAAGTGTCAAGGGTGTATAATAAATCTTTCCAACGGATTCTTCAATATATCTCTGCTTTAGTTTAGATTTTCAAAAACACTGTGCTTAAGTAGATAGCTTCATTGTTACCTTAATACTCCTAGTACTCATGTTTTTCTTACTAAAAAAATGCTGATATAGGTCTTCTCAAAATTAATCTAAATGAAGAGACACAAATACATTATTAATACAGACAGATAAAATAATTGTCTGTGTACAAAGGTATGCTATGTGTTTGTGGATGTACACCCAGATGAGGAATTTCTAAACAGATGCTGCCTCTTCTTAGACTGTTTACTCACTTGGAAATATATCAGCATGAGGAGGCATGACTAAGTCAGAATTAGATGACTTATTGCTTTGGTACCCTGGATGAAACTGTTGTCCATGCAGCATGTGTGTGTTCTTTTCAACATAGAGTTTGTGTTGTCAATGACCATCTACATCTTGTGTCCAGAAAATAAGATGGCAGCTAAGTGTGTTGCAATCATTGATACTTCCTTAAAATTAAATAGCTACCTTCTCAAAAACCAAGTGCCTTGATCACTTGTAGGACTTTTAAGTTACTAGGCTTTTACTATTAGTTCAGAAATAAGGGTAATAACTGTCAAATATATCTCTTAAGAGTTTTATCAACTATATTAAAATTGTTTCATATTTTATAAAATTATGAAATCAGGAAGTTAAAATCTTGGTTTTTGCTGTATGACTAAATGGTTAACAGTTTGAACATTCCAGGCTAATGATACAATAAGTCAGAAATATCTGCCATCACAAATTGAATATGGAAGTGCATGATGCATGTGTTTCATGAAATTCACTGTGTCACCACTTGGTTGTTTGCTTGTCATATTGCTCAAATTAATCATTTAACGCATTAGCATTTTTTTTTTACAGGGAACAACCACTGAAACTGAAATGAGAAAGAGAAGGTCAAGTTCTTTCCATGTTTCCATGGACTTTCTAGAAGATCCTTCCCAAAGGCAACGAGCAATGAGTATAGCCAGCATTCTAACAAATACAGTAGAAGGTTGGTAACAAATTCTATTTTCGTTTCAATTATTTTCACTAAACTTATATTGTCTCATTTCAAATAAATATATTTGTGAGTTGGAAATAGTGCATTCTAATGAAAAGACAACAAGTCTAATTCAAGAACTGTTATCTGTTATATCTACTCAGATATTCTAGAAGCCTTAACAATTTATTTTAAACTCAGTGATATTGGGACTAAGAATGTTTTCCTAACTGTGTGGCAACTCTTTGAAAATGCAGAATAAAGCATTTCTGTTAGGGGTTTCTAATCTCATTAGTCACAGTGACCCTCTTTTTGTTCCATTAGTTTAAGACTTCAGCAGTACAACCCTTTTCAGCCTCATCCTAAGTACTCTCAAGATTGTAGAGGAAGAGCAGGTCATTTTCACCAAATAAAAACAAGTTAAAATGATGATTCTTGGGTCACATCAATCCCTATTCTAGCTCTCATAGTCTGAGGTTGACAATGTAGAGTCATTCACATAGGGCTGCACACAGTATCTACACCACCCTAAACCATGTTCCCATTGAGACTTCACATGAAAGACCACTCGCATCACTTGAGGCCAAGCGCTGAGCCACAATGTCAGTGCATAAGCCAAAAAACTACCCATTGTTACCTGGGCTCTATGTGTGTGTCTAATGAAATATCCTTGGGAGGTTTAGAGTAAACTCTGTAATTTTTTTTAAGAAGTACAAAAAAGGTTGCCTCTGTAACAAAAAATGTGCTGATTACTGAAAATAAGTTTAGTGGATATGAAATAAATGCGTGTGTATAAAATATACCTTTTGGTGGTTCTTATTTTTTTTTTAATCTAGAACTTGAAGAATCCAGGCAGAAATGCCCACCCTGTTGGTATAAATTTTCCAACATATTCTTAATCTGGGACTGTTCTCCATATTGGTTAAAAGTGAAACATGTTGTCAACCTGGTCGTGATGGACCCATTTGTTGACCTGGCCATCACCATCTGTATTGTCTTAAATACCCTTTTCATGGCCATGGAGCACTATCCAATGACGGACCATTTCAATAATGTGCTTACAGTAGGAAATTTGGTAAGCATATTGGAAGGTAAATGTGTTTAGTCTTCAAATTTTCTGCTTGAGAAACTGTTTACATTTAATTGTGTATAGCAGTCTTTCAACCACCCTTCATGCTTCCTGGCCCCCGCAAAATGCCAATTATATCTAACTGGCTATACTCCACTTTTTGCCAAAAATAATGACCTTAATGTGCTCACAAAAACTGAAAAAGGTATAGGCCTACAGCACTACTTGAAAAGTCAACAGCAATATTTATAACTTTTCAAGATCCAGAAGTAGCTCATAGTTTAAGAACACACTTTTTGAGATATTATTACAATTTCCCTTACTGTAGAAGGTTAAAATAAAATTGTGGATCTCTTTTATCCTTCTTAGTCATCATCATTGCAAGAAATAATTTAACAACTCAAAAATGTCTCCAGCTTTTATTCTTCCAGGATCTAAGTAGTACATGTATTGTTTATCCATCTATTCCATATCAAAACCATGAACTATTTAAAACCTCCAGTACATTTTGTGTATTATATGATTACGAAGGTCATTTTTGGTGAAGGTTGCCACTTAATTTTTCCTTTTTGTGCTTCAAAAACATAAATTATTAAAATGTTTCCCAGTCAACTTAGGAATATTAGCTTTTATTTGCTGAAGGAAAGAACTATCTAAAGTAATATATGCATTTTCCATAATATTTGATTTGAAGTTTAGGATTTTTGATGGTAGAAAGCAGAAACATCATGTATAACAACTGACATTTTATTAGTTATATTTTTGAAGTTCTACTATTTATACTACAGAAGTAAATTTATTTTTTCATGTGCATAACAAATAATGACAACAGTAATGCACCTAGTATAGTAATAGATAAGAATGTATAACTCTGATTTGAGGGAAATAGGAATAAGCTTATAGAGAAATAAAACTGCTCATGGGCAAAATGTTGTCAGTACTTATGTTATATGAAGTCTGGAGAAAAAGGTAGTTTGGTATAATGGAAAGAGCACTGTTAAAAATAGATGACTTGAGCCGGGCGCGGTGGCTCACACCTGTAGTTCCAGCACTTTGGGAGGCCGAGGCAGGTGGATCACGAGGTCAGGAGATCGAGACCACCCTGGCTAACACGGTGAAACCC